GTGAAAGAGTGCAATGACTTTTCACTTTTTTTTTTTAATGTGTACTTTCATTATTTTTCAATACTTTAAAATACTTTAGAAAGTTTCAGGAGTGCGGGTGTGGTTTTTTTTTTTCTTTTTTCTTTTTTTTTTAATTTTCTCCTTCCAATCCTTCATTTATTTCAATGCATTTATACTTGTTTAGCTGGATGGTGAGTAATCAAAGATCCTTTCTGATCTCTAGACCAAAATACCAGCTATGAATACAAGTAAAAAGTAATTGGGTTATCCAAGCTTAATGTTTACAGGACTCACAGCAATGGAAGCAAAGCATGTCCTGGGCTGCATCATCAGAACTATAGTCAGCAGATCAAGGGATGCAGTTATCTCACTCCATTTAAGCATTTGTTATGCCATACATGTAACACTGTGTTCAGTTCTGGTTCCCCTGTTCAACAGACACACTGAAATATTGAAGGGTCCAGTGGAGAAGAGCCACCAAGATGATAAAAAGGGTTGGAAAAATGGACATCTGATAAAAGGCTAAAGAGAACAGAAGGCTCAGGGAGGATCTTATCACACTCCCCTGGTACATTAAAAACTTGTTAGAGAAGGAGAATGATGATAGTGCAAGAGACCTTTTTTTTTTTTTTTTTTTTTTTAAGACTGATCAACAGGGCCCTGGCTAATGGTGTCCATAATTCTGCTTTCAGCATAAGATGGGACCAGGTGATCTTCAAAAGCCCCTGCCAGTCTAGACATTTCTGTTCTGTGGCTTATATTGTCAAGCTTTCCCAATTTGTCTCTGAGCTAAACTAGAGGCTGTAGTTTACATGGCATCAGAATCTGTCATCAGGAATGTCTTGATTTGCTTATCTTTGGGAGGAACTTAAAACACAGACTAGTTTTTCAGTAGATTAAATATTAATAAGATGAAATTTTAACCTTTGATCTGTGACTTCCTAAATTAATACACATACAGTAACTAAAGTGGTGGTAGAAGAAATGAAGAAAAAGTACAGCAATAGTGATGCTAGACTTGGTGATTGTTTCAAAAAGGGATGCTCTAGAGGTAAATTGTTCTATATAAAGCTTTTCAATTTCATGCAATGTGTCAGCTGAGATACAGGTATGAGTTGTCTTTATTTTGTTAGTGCTCAGTGAGACAGGATAGTATGCAAAGTAAAATATGATATGTAGGTAAACTGAAGCCTAGCTATGTGCAAAACCATTTTGCTGCATTTATCTATGTGAGTGTTTTTGAATGTAGGTCAGGTTCATTGTTTTGTCTTTTATATGTTCAGTCTTCTGTTTTGGGGTCTGGTGTGCAACATTTCCTAAAGCTGAGATTGGCATAGTGTTTGTGCCTCTGGAAGTAGCTTAACTGGGTAACGTAGTGTGAAAATGTCTTCAAATATTTGTAGTCAAAGATTGTCAAACCTTGGGTTTTTTTTTAAATTGGAAATATGCACGATCTTTCCCCTCCCAAAATGCTATAATTGAACTTAGTTACCTTTTGTTTCTTATGAAGTTTAAAAATAGTGGTTTTGCTCAAAGTAGTGAGTTACTGTCCACAGTCTGATTTTTGGATCACATAGATCTGATCAGTGGCAAAAGTTGATATGAGCCTTGACTTATTCTGACTCTCTGTAATTAAAACAAAAAGTAATAATAATAGTAAAGAGACATATCTTAGAATTCAATGATTACAAAACAAGCTTAGCCTATTTTGGTCAGGAATACCAATGGAGGTGTATGCTATTCTAATGCTATTCTTATACTGCATACAGTGGGTTTTTTGTTTCTTTGTTTTATTGATAGTGTCCAAGAAGATTATAAGCTAAAATCTTTTGTGAGAACAGTCAAAAAGAAAAATGAAAAAACTCAGGATCTAGGTAAGAGATAACATAAAATTAAATAGTTCAGCTTAACACATTGTTCTTCAAATGAATTGTGGTCACTGCTTGTTGTATGTAATTCTAGGTGATATCAGTTGTGAAGCAGAAGTTGTTGGCTTCAAAATGGCTTGTGAATGTTAGGCCAAATTATTCCTATAACAACAGGTCAGCACACTCATAGGAATGTCATGCTTTGAGGGTTGTGACATTGTATTTGAGAGAAACGTTTGTTGGACCATCATTTGGCTGCTGCACTATCATTTGCTGCAGAACACTTTTAAGGCATATTTTGGGTTGGCTTGTATCACCATTTTTTGTGGCCCTGGTGTTTGCGGCTCTGACACAGAACCACAGGCAAAAATTACAGAAATTAGATGGTCACAGAGGTTTCTGTCCTGATCTTCTTCAGAGGTTCTCTCTACTCCTGATGCTTATGAGGTAACTGCAAATTATAACTTAGAAAAACTGGCATTGACTTTTCTGGTGTGTGGGTTTTTTTGTTTTTTTGTTTGTTTGTTTGTTTGTTTTCTTTTCAGCATGCTGGGCTCTCATCTCTGTCTATTTAAGCAGCTGTTTCACAATTAGCTGATCAGTTGGTGAAACAAGAGCAAGAATTTTCAGAATGGTAGACAGGCACAACTGTGGGTGCCAAAATGTACATCCAGCTAATTTTAATCTGACTTAGACATTCCAGTTTACCAATAATAGCAAGCTATCTCAAGTTGCCATCCTAGTGCTGTGGTGTTGGTGATTTCTCAGTGCAACCGTTGCACTATTTGAGGGGCTATACTATAAACCAGATTATTGAAATTATTTGAGTTAAAAACAAAACCCCCCAACAAAGAGGGCCGATTTGCAGTGTAGCCTAATAAGCAGTTAGAATAGCAAAAATTTAGGGAAGGAGAGGAGCTTTGGGCAGGAAGGAACTACTTCAGCACGCCAGCTGCTCCTGACTTCACTTCCTGCATTGGATACTTGGATTTGACTTGCTTAATTTTAGATGTTTAAGTTAGTCACCTAGTTAGTCACCTAGGCTCCTTTGTACTCAATGATAAGTACCTCTATGTAGTAATTCGTTCTGTGTATTTATTTCTGCATTCATTGGTTATAAAGGAATCCTTACTATTTGACACAACTTTTAAATATCTGAAATTATGTTTAGGTCACAATGAGAGGCAGCTTACTTCAGTTCAGGGTTACCTTGCACTTACAACATAGTTATAAGATTGTTCATGTCAAAATTTGTCACTGAGAACTAGCTTTTAACTTAGTAAGTTAATAATGTAGTTTATCTTGTAGTGTCTTTTTCAGGTAAGCAGGCACATAGGCTAATGTCTGAATTGGTATCTCAGTAAAAGAAGGCATGGCTTATATGAAGAGTCTTGTTGAGATATGTTTAAAGTATAAAGAACATATTTTGTTCAGTAAATGAATTTTATATTGTCTGAGCTAGACTCTGTATTGCTCAACTTTACAGGCTGAGAATTCAGTTATTTCTGTTTCTGTAACTGTTAATCTCACCATGGCATTTATGGTGGGAAGTGTAAGTCTTATCTTTTTCTTTTAGGTTGACAATTGCATTTTTCGCACTCTCTGGTCTGGATATGTTGGATTCCTTAGATGTGGTGAACAAAGATGATATAATAGAATGGATTTATTCTCTGCAGGTCCTTCCCACAGAAGACAGTGAGTGAGGTTTTTTTAATTTTTTTTTAATTGATATTAACATCTTATGTCTAGCAATCTCTAGAAATAGGTCCCTCTAAAGAAATAAAGTGATTAGTTTTGCTTTTTTATGTATTCAAGTTGAAGTTATGAAATTACTTTGAAGATAAGACAATATAAAATTCTACTGAAGTTCTACCCTCAAAAATGTTCTCAGATAATTTTTTGGCCTCTTTCTAAAAGAAATGCATATGATGCATAAACGTTACAAGTCTATTAATGATTATATTGACTTCCACTAAATATAACTATACCAGGAGCTATGAGCACAGGTGTGGCTATATGGAACAGCTTTTTGAAAAAAAGGAGAGCTAAGATGAAGAAGCAAAAGGGATGAAAACAAATCCTACTTCATAATGAAAAATCTATACTTTGGATCTGTGATGGTTAAATTTGCCTAATGTTTTTAGAAGGGAGTAATACTGTTGCTCTCCCAACTATCTTCAGATTGGAACATGCATAATTGATCCAGGTTAGGGAGGGAACTCAAAAGAAGTGGCCCTCTCCAGGCGACTTAATAGAAGCCAAGGGAAGCGCCATTTCTGTGATCTTGCTGGCACTGTTTTTTTGTTTGTTTGTTTGTTTGTTTTTGTTTTTGCTTTTTTGAGGTGCTGGCATACTAAGGGCTGGTGTGGGATAGCTCCAGGCTGGTCTTCAGAGAAGAGGTAATTGCAGGTGCCTGTCTAAAAAATTCATGAAATTGTTGGATTTTTGGCTTTTAATGTTGGATGGTTATAGATATAAAATCATGCATTTCCTTATAATGTCTAATTGTATATCACAAATTAGGACTCTTTCCTAAAAGCAGTTTTAGGAAATAGAGCATTTTTATGAAGTGAACATGTAGAAGTCAAGATTGCTAATGCTTGATTTTTACAGTAATAAAAAGAAGCCATATCTTACTCTGGCAACTTGCAAGCCTTCAGATCCAATAGTGTTTTTTTTGTTTGTTTGTTTGTTTTTTTGGGGGGGGTTGTTTTGTGTGTGTATGTGTGTGTTTTGGGTTTTGTTTTTGTTGGGTTTTGTGGTTTATTTTCTGGGATTTCTTTTATTTTGTTGGGTTTTTTTTTGATTGTTTGGGTTTGTTTGTTGTGGTGTTCTTTTGCTTGGGTTGTATTTTAGGACTGAACATAGAAAATTAATGTTCCTATAGCTCTTTTAATTATGAGAAGGTTTCTGTCCCTTAACATTAAGAATACTTTCCATGTGTACATTCTTTGTTTTTAGGAGTTACATACTTATTGATCTCTATCCCTGTTTTTGGGATTCTATTCTGATAGAACCATCAACTTCACAAGAAGACAGATTAGAATAGGCATTTTTGTTTGTTTTTCTTCAATAGTATGCTGAAATTATTTGTACCCCCCCCCCCCAATCTAGCCAGTATTTGGGATAGTCCCATTGTTAAGGACTTCCTAGAGAGGACAGTATCAATTTCAGCTTGCAGATGTGTAGTGTAAAGATCTAGGGCACAGCTAGGACGAGCTCTTCCTATCATACAATTATTGGAGAATACTCTTGCAGGGGGTGCCTCTGTGCAGTGGCAATGCATTCTGTGCTTATAAATAATTGATATTTCTTTTGGCCACTTTCCCTCCAATCCTTTTGCTATCATAAGAGCTTTTCTTGTTGTTGTTGTTTTTGTTAAGCACTATTCATTCTGATAATAATGCCACGCTTTATCTTGGCACTTGACCCCTAAAATTTTAGGGTTCCAACCCCCTCATTTTTTTACTTTATCTGGTAGACAATAGATGATTAAAATGTAAATTATATTCACACCAACAAATTGGATGCTGGATGACTGAATATTCAGAAAGTAGTGCACAACTTCCTGTAATGTCTGGTTTCAATAAAATGCCTTGTCTATTTTTTAATGTTAATACATGTGATGTTTGACAGCCAGCCACTAGTAGAGCTCTGACTCCATCTTTTGACATGCCCAAAGAAGTAGATGAGGGCTTTGGTTTTAAGATGATTGTACATATCTAATTAAAGGAAACACTTACTAGCTTGATGAATCAGAATAATCTGTTGCAGATTCTTGGACATGCATGTTGATATGTTTTTCTTTCTGGGGAAAAATGATCTTTAAGTGTTTAAATTATAGCACTGTTGCATTACGTATTTTTGGAATGGTGAATTTCCAATAATCTTGCTTTAAATAATAGGATGGCACTTGATATAAGTCTTCATTACTTTTGGCTCTAGCGTTGAAAAAACAATATTTTAGATTGAATCAATGAATTCCTAAAAGGAGAGAAAAAAGGATTCTTGGGGGGGGGTAGGGGAGGAAGAGAAGAAGTATCCTCTGTTCAAGTTCAGTAGTACTTCACTTGTTTTTACTTAAGGCCTTTTTTTAAGGTGGTAAATTCAGATTATTTTGAGAACTGCTGCTAACTTACAGTGGGCTTCCAATGGATAGGAGGCAGAACAATTGATACTCTACAAACTTAATTTCAGTTTAGTTTTACTGCTATTATAGTAGGATATTGTAGAACTTGGTAGAAAATTAAAAATTTGATGTTTAGAATTGTTAGTTATACTCTCAAAATATACTGTGGTAGTAGTATATTTGTATGTACCAGTATGGGATGTGCTAATGTAGCTTGCAATTGAAAGGTTTGTAGCCTTTGAAATTTTTGATGTGAAACAAGTTGTCGAAAGTAAAATGGTCAGATCTTGTTCTGAGTAGGAAAGTAAAAATACAGTTTGCGATCCTAAATGAAATACATTAAATGAAGCTAAAGATTGAGGTCCATCAGGATAGATTGAATTCTTCTGTGGTTTTATTGTAGCTAGGAAACATGAGAGATTCAAAAAAGTAATAGCCTTTAGATACCAAGTGTTCCGCTCAAGTGTTTGTTCTGTCTAAGTTTGAATTTAGATTGGTAAAAACACTTGCTGTGCGCAGTCCAGTGTTTTGGTTTATAGTGATAATTAATTATTTTTTAGCCTTAGTTCGGTAAGAATTGCTCATGTTTATCTGGGTATGCTAATTGTGTCAACCTATGTTAAAGCTATGACTTCTTGTGTTTTGAGCTTTTAGTGTCATATGTAAAATTGCTCCTGCACTTAGCAAAATAAGAAAAGCCTAGAAGCCAGAGGAATACATATGTACCCTGAAGGGGAAGTAGTAAAAATTACCACTTTTCCCATCAATCATGAAAGTCACACAGCAAAAATGTTCCTTCTGTAACAAAAATGATTCTTGGATAAGCCTCCTATGGTCTTCACTTGGAGCTCTGTTATAAGAGCTTAAGGACTGTCTGGTCTACACATACCTAATATGGCTTTCCTCAAGGTAAAGTCTTAGCTTTTGGTGTAAATGTGGAGTCTCTTGCTTTGGGAAGCAAGCTTAATCTTTATTGTGCTTTCCAGAATCTGTTGCAACACAAAAAGTAGGGTCTTTGACTCCAGCAACTAACAGGCAAACTTAATTTGCTGAAAAGATAAATTACAACAAAATATAAATTATGTTTTTTATCTACAAATCCACATATTCTGTTTTCTTGTTGCTATAGATACCAATTTTTAGTGTATGCTGAACTTGCTTTTATTATGCCTGCCGAGTCATTAGTTTACATATATATATATATATATTTAGGATAAAAAGTGGAGATTGCAGGGTGCGTGTGGGTGCTTTTGTTGTTGTTTATTCCCCCTTCTGTTAAATGATAGTTCATTTCATGGATATTAGATCCAAAGACTTGTCTGTTAGAAAAACTTGCACACTTTACCAGTTTTGAAGTATTTAGACTGATGCAAGTGTCTAAATTAGATGCTGCATATCTGCAGAGTGTATTTTAAACTAGAAGTTACTATGTTTATTAATTACACCAGTATTGATGTACAGTGTTGCACAGTGATCTTTTTTAGGGTTTGCAGTATTATAACTATTGTTGTTCATTTAATCATTTGGTGCAAATTTTCCTAATCTCCATGACACATTTTAGATGCAAAAAAAAAAAAAAGGGTGGGGGGAAAGGCAGGGGTGGGGGGTGAGGGGAAGAGAATGAATAAATTGGATTCGAGCTCTCTTTGACCTTTGGAGGCTGAGGAGTGAAGTAGTTGAGCTTTTGAAGTACAGAAGCAGACTAGAGCTCTGGAAACTTAGTGCTAGACAGAAATGTGCATGCTCAGATACTGTGATGCATTGCCAAAAAATCTCATCTAAATCACTGGAAGAAATATCTGATTGGCAACATGTTCTTGTAGCTGTGTTTTGGGTGAAAGACATAATGGCTTCATTAAAAATGTCATATTGTTTTACTTATTCTAACAGTATCACAGTAAATCACTACTGGCTTAAAACTGCAGATAGTTCATTTGTTCTTGTACATGCTGCAAAGTACCTTAAAATAATTCTGCTTAAGAACAGACATTATTACTAGGCAGAAATGTAGAGAGGGAAAAAAAAAAAAAACTCTAACTCTGGGCGTTTTCAAGGGAAATTATTTTTTTTTCCCCGTTCTAAAAAAAAAAAAAAAAAAAAAAAAGGGAGAGGAGAAAAAAAGAGAAAAGTAAGTTCTGTGCTGGTACATATTTCCACCAAATAAAATAATCTCTTGCTTTGTCATTACACCAGGGTCAAGTTGGTTTGATTGTTATCATTCTGAATATGAAAAAAACAATCATCTGAGTTAGGGAACATACTGAAAGGAACGTATATGCAGACTATGGTTGTATTGTGAGTGGTGCTGAACTAACGGGTCTGTATCTTGGCTAGAGAATTGCAGTTTATAATGAATGTTTCAGCAAAGCAAATCAGCTGACTTTTTATCTTTCTTCCTTCTCTAGGATCAAACTTGAATCGCTGTGGATTCAGAGGCTCTTCGTACTTAGGGATTTCATTCAACCCATCCAAGGTTAGTTAAGTGTAATGAAGATGTTTTGATTAGGCAGTAAATTATCTTCTCTCTTTATCATATTAATTACAGAGTTGTGGGGATTTGGGCTCTGTTGATATACTGAAATATTTGAAGAGCTTTTATAGTACGGTACTCTTAAAATGGTTCTGCTCACGTGTGCAGGGGGCAGTGAAGAGTGACGTACAAATTGTGACTTGTTTCAGTGCATTCTCCCCTGCTCTGATCTGTGACTGGAGGGGAAACTTCTCCAGCTGAAGAACTGTCTGTGTACCAGGAGAACAGAACTGTTGTGCATGAGGTGGTGGAGGGCATGCTGTTGCTGTTCTTCAGTATTATTTTTATATATGATGAAACATGGAGTGTTTGATTGGACTTTGTATTTGCTCAAAGATAGGGAAAGCTTTGCTCATCCCAATTTGTGGTGGAAAACAATGTGAGAATGCTTTTCAGGCATGTAACCTAATGCTGGGGAGAAATCAGGTGATCAAAGGCTGCTAATGATACAGAAGGTCAGATATGGTTGGAAGAAATAGGGGCCAGGTATGCAAGAGGGATTGTGAAAAAGATACAGAAATTGTGTGCTGTGTTTGAAAATGAAAAGTTCAATCACCTCACTACTAAAGAGGGGATGAAACATCTCCCCACAGGTACTTGATTTCTAGAGGAGAGAGAGAGAAAGAGGATTTGAGATATTTATTAATATTGGGATATTGAATTTAAAGTGAAGATGGACATCTGATACACTCAACTACAGTCTTAATTGTAAAAAATGCTTGAAATAGCTTGTGTATGAGGATAGTGCAGCAGCCTGTTTTGACCTTAGTTTTATTTACTTTAACAGTACAATCTTAGGTTTCTGAGCATTTTGAGAGAATTTTAATCTGCACTAGAGTAATAACCACTTATTGTCCCTTTTTGCATAGCAAGTCAGCTAAGTATTCATACCAGTAATATTCATAGTTTATAGTATGGAAAAAAATAATGATGAAGAGGATTTTGTACATCTCTACACCAGGTGTTAGAGCAACATGTGACAGGCAAGATAATCTGCCTCTTGATTTGCTTTGATATTTATCCTTTTTTACACTACAGATGGTGTCTGCAGTGAACTCTGTAGTACTGAGATGAATGCATCATCTCTTTCAATTGGAACTAACCTCAGTGGCAATCCTGCCACCCACTGAGCTTGAAGAAGGAAAATGTTTGCTTAAAACTTAAAAGTATTTGGGATTTCTACTGGTTACTTATTGGAATGCTTTATTAAAAATAAAGCTTAAATGCAAAAAAAACTCAAATGCAAACAATAAATAAATAAATAAAGATAGTTTTACTCAGAAGCTAGTAGTCTTTTTCATAACAGTCCCCTAAAGACATTGAAGGTGTAATACTATTATTGTGGTATAACTGCAGTATAAGATGAATAAACACACATTATCAAAGCAAGGTAATAAAAATGTCAGCCATATTTCCTCAAAGGTCTGGGTCAGTGCTATGCAATGTAGTGCATTAGATTGGTATATCCTTTTTGGAAACTTGTCCCCATTGCACAAATTTTGAAGAATGAGTTTTGTGCATAATTTTGAGATTTTTTTTGTAGTGCTCTTTGAAAAGTCTAAACAAACTGAAAAGTGTCATTATAACTTGACAGCACTTTCTGGTATTTTAATTTAACAATCAAGTTTCAGTAGTACATGCTTCAGATATGAATACTCTCTTTTCAGGAAATGTGTTGCAGCCCATCAGTATCTTGTAACCTGTCAGCCAAACTGTAGAAGGGACCAAAGGGTAGTCATGTAACCTGTGGAAACTACTTACAAGGTTGTTGTATCTAGAAAACTATTCACAGATGGATATACTTTTTTTTCAAGCATCATAATATGTTTTTATTGCCTTTACATTAAAGGGATCAGATCTACTTTGATTTATTAACACAAAAAGATTTAAATATTTCCAGAATTGTTTCCTTAAAATATTCTGAAGTGTCTCAAAGAAGGAAGAATTTGGAAATCTCTTGTGATGACTTTTGGTTATGTTTAAGGTCGTGTAGTTTTTCTTTAATCATCATTTAAAAGCAGTTGATTAAAACTGTGTAATAATAATAATAATAATGCCTGTAAGTTTTTTGGATTTGCATTAGCAGTTACTTATTCCATGCCACTACAGTGATTTCATTTTTGGACCAAGGTCTATGCCAGAGATAGCGGTTGGAGCTTCTGAGCAGGGTTCAATTTTGTCTATGTAGATTTGAAATTTAATGGTTCATTAAAAAAAAGGGGGGGGCAGTCCTTCAGGTGCATATGAACATTTTTTCTGTGCTTTGATAAATGAAAACAATTTTGAAAAGTATTTTAAATACTAAAAGCATTATTTAGTTTAATACTAGAGTGCATTCAGTACATACATATATGTACTGAGGCCATAGGCTAGGGTTACTTATCATCAAGGCTTCCTCCCATCCACACACATTTTAGAAGTGCTGGCAGTTACCTTAAACCTTTGAGACTAGTTATCTTTTCTTATTGGAAAAGAAAAAAGCCATTTCAGTCTTACTTTTTGGCATCAAGTTGTCATGGGGCCAAAGAAACTCTATTGTTCAGGTTCAGATGTTGTTGAAATGTATATATTTGTGTGTGTAGGCACACGGATCACATGCAATAAACAGTATTGTGACAATCTTGAAATAATTCCATGGAGCCTAGAGAAAACAAAGACATAAGTGCATTCTAGCATACTTACATTTTGAAAAAATTCTAATTAAGGGCCAGAATGTATGATTCTTCTGGAATAATACATTAACTATATTTGTTTTACATTTAAAAAAAATCACGTACGGTGAACAAAGATCTTTTAGGCCCTCAAAAACCTATGGTAAATTTATATTTGAAGCTTCATCTTGGCTTTTGTGAGTATGTATTGTAATAATTTCTGTATTTCTGTTTATGTGATCTTGGTTGTTAATCTTCTGTGTTCAATTTAATTCTATTTGAGTATTGACCATATATATTGAGATTTGGGGCTCTAAAATGAATCTTTTCAAGACCTTGGATGTATACCATCATATTGACCCTCTGTCACTTCCACAGTCTTTTCTTGTAATTGCATATGAAAATATCTACCGGTGTAGCAGTTTTCCATATAACGAATTGAATTGCTTGCCACATGATAATATTGCAATAAAGGAAAACTATTAGCAGTAAAGGTAGCTGTGTGAGCTACTAGCAGCTGTTCTCAAATGCTGAGACCTTCTCCCTGTTTCCCTATATAATGACATGTTCGAGAATCACTGCTGTGGTATGCATCCTAATAGTCCTTGCTGTGTTGCTTGTACCTAACTCTGTGGTGTTCAAAGATGAAAGCAGAAGACTGCACAACTAATTTAGCTGTGAAATTCATGATAGCGTATACAACGCTCACTTCCATTTGCATTATATGCACCATAAAGGTATAGTTTACTCTTTGCTGAAACTACCTGCCTTGCAAAGTTTTGCGTCTCAGATTGCTGAAACCCCATATTTGGAAAAACAGCGTGTTACCTCTACATGCTGAAATGTTTGCATGAAAAAGATAAAATGTGTACACTGTCTGGATGTTGTAGTGAATGATACTGTTTTTTTCAGGGGAGAAGGGATTGTTTTGTGTCATGAGCATTCATTATACATGCTTCTAATGCATTTTACGTACATCATATTTATTGCGGGAAGTGATCGTGTAATAGAAATACCTGTATTCACTAAAAAAAAAAAAAACGATTATTTTAATGTATTTGTAGACTACCAAAACTTACAGGCAGTATAGACTAGTGTGTCTATACAAAAAGTACAATTAAAAAAAAAAGTGAAGCAGAAATTCTGAGTTTTGTGTTGAAACTGTGTGGGGGGGAAATGCCACTTAAAGGAGACTATTTTTGAGAATTACAGATGCTTTAGAATATCCTTCTTCCTGAATATCCAAGCATGTTTGATGTAGCTTAAGACATTTACATAAATTTTCTATAATCAATGGTTTTTAAAAGCCAAGTTTGCATATCCTTAGAGTAAATCTGATTTGCTTAATAATCTTCCTTCAGAAATAATATTTTCAAAATTAAAGTTGAACTGTTTCACTATAGCCATTACTCTTCCATTATTCCTGATGACAATATTTATTTGGAGAGGGACTTAATAGCTATATGAGTGTGTAAACAGAGCAGTGGTATGCAATGAAAATTGATTTGCAGGCTGTATGAGTGGAGGCATCTCCTCCACTTTCTCTGATCCAGGGTCTGCGGTTGGGGCATGCAAAGCAGGGATGCACAACTAATCTAAGTGCTAGTGTAGGAGCAGACCGTGGCTGACAAACTTTGCACCGTGTTTCCTGACAGAGTGCCTGGGGCAGGGAGAGGGTCATGGTGAGTGGAGAGGTGCAGTGCTCAACATTTTCCTGTTCTCCTGCTACATACCTGGAGCTTTTCCAGTACTATTGCAGCCACTCTCATGCTGCTGCTGTCTCCCTTCCCCTTCTGTGTTTGATTCCCAGGTGGAAGGAGAGTTCCTTGCTGTGTAGTGGGTAGCAGGTACCTCTCCTAGGTTCTTATTTGAAATAAAGCTCTCTGGCATAGGAAACCAGCATGGTTTCCTAAGTGCAGAGTTCTGCACCTGGGGAGGAATAACCCTAGACACCAGTACAGGCTGGGGACCGACCTTCTGGAGAGCAGCTCTGCGGAGAAAGACCTGGGTGTCATGGTGGATGATAAGTTGACCATGAGGCAGCAGTGTGCCCTTGTGACCAAGAAGGCCAATGGGATCCTGGGGTGCATTAAGAAGAGCGATGATCAGGGGCCTGGAACATCTGCCCTATGAGGAGAGGCTGAGCGAGCTGGGCCTCTTCAGCCTGGAGAAGAGAAGGCTGAGAGGGGATCTAATCAGTGTATATAAGTACCTCAAGGGAGGCAGTGAGGAGGATGGTGCTGGCCTCTTTTCAGTGGTGGCAACTGATAGAACTAGAGGAAATGGCCACAAACTGAAGCACCAAAAGTTCCACAGGAACTTAAGGAAAAATTTCTTAACAGTGAGGGTGCCAGAGCACTGGAACAGGCTGCCCAGAGAGGGTGTGGAGTCTCCTTCTCTGGAGATCTTCAAAACCCGCTTGGACGCAGTCCTGTGCCACGTGCTCTAGGTGACCCTGCGTGTGCAGGGGGGTTGGACTAGATGACCTCTAGAGGTCCCTTCCAACCTTAAGCATTCTGTGATTCTATGATTCTATGGTTTGGCCAAAAAAATACCATGTACCCATAACATGATCTCATTAAGCTTGTTTTTATACTGCTTATTGCATGTGCGGTTTTTGAGTTGCAAATTAAAAATGGCAGTTAACGTAATCCTAGTAAAATGTGTTTTATAAACTAATTTGTCTCCCCTGCTCAGCATAGAAGTAACTCTTTTATCAAAAAAAAAACAAACAAAACAACAACAAAAAAACTTTCAGTTGTTTCAAACTGATCCATCCTAAGCATCTAAAGTCATCTTGCTACATGTGGTTTGTGTTGCGGTAATGTCCAGGATGTACCTGTAAAATACCACAAGAAAAAAAAGTACATTCAGCACATAAGCATCTCCCCATCTCATGATCTGCATCATGCAACTAGTCAGCATTTAACTTGTAATTTTAGCTTCTCTGGTGACTTTATTTTTTATGTAGATATTATATGTAAGACCTGATTATTGTTTTGCAATAGAGTTGAAAGTGGATGAGGGATTAATTTGCTCTCCTTGCAACTGACAGATTACTAATAATCTCTCTTATGCTTTTGTACTTGTGGATAATTAGCTTTTAAAATCTCTGCAGAGGGAACCTGTAGAGGAATGGCTATATAACAGAAAGCTCATCTTGCTGCCAGGAAACTAATGCCCAGGAGGAGTATGTCAGGATGATCTTACAGTTGAGCACATCTGATTATTTTTTTTTCTCTTGCATAAATATCACTGTTGGTACATTCTTATTCCAAAGCTTCCTACTGACCATCTGATTACAAGGGTGTCAGAGTTCTTCAGTAAGTTGGTTTCATTCAGAGAAGTTTAATGGGATGCTCTTGGTTTAACCATAATTCATGAAGGGAAATGAACTTTGCTTAACTCTTATTTTTTTTTAAGTGATATAAGTGGGTTTTTTGTTTTGTGTTGTTGTTTTTTATTATTATTATTTTTATTTTTTTTAGGGTCCTGGTATATCTCATCCCTATGACAGTGGGCATATAGCAATGACTTACACAGGTCTGTCATGTCTGGTTATTCTTGGAGATGATTTAAGTCGAGTAAATAAAGATGCCTTATTGGAAGGACTGAAAGCTCTCCAGTTGGAGGATGGAAGGTAAATTATATTTTATATTTTACAACCCTCTGGAAGGTTAATGGAAAACCTATGTGTGGAAACCGTAGTGCACATGTTTTTATGCAAATAAAGGTGTAAAAGGCTTAGTATCTAGGAAGTCTTCTATAATTAAAACCTTTTAATGGAATATTCCTTTCAAAATGCAATGTTACATTTAAAAAAAAAAAAAAAAACTCCAGAATATTCTAAATGGAAGTCATGAATAGTGATGCACAATTTCCTTTCATATAGCCACAGAATGACCTTAATGCATCAAGTTCTAATGTATGTATACAGATATATATAAATAAGTGTATTTGTTGTTCTGCCTTAGTTTGGAAGCCTTTTCAAGGACCTAGGGGTGTCTGTGCTGCTGCTGGATGTGTTCCTGTTGCATGCTGAGCCATTTCTCTTATCACAGTATATCCAAGAGGAAGGAGCGAGGATGCGTGTGCGCCAAACTCCCTAGCATCTCAAAGCGATTGCTTGCCATCACATCTGTTTGCAATAACAAATTATGTGCAGTTAACCTGTTCTGCATGTTTGTATCATTTGTATAGCTTTAATGTACAGACTGATCAAAGAAGAGGATTAAGTGTAAGATGCTGAAGAGTGCTAGCTAGCCACCAGATGGAAAGGAGGTGCTTTGCATTTTTCTGGGATAGAATTGTTACTTGAGTGAGAGTCAACTTCTAGTTTTCATACCTAAGAAAAGAGCTTTAACTGCTTAACATCTTGTCTCTGTGAGAATAGTCAGTAAGCTGAATAAGGGAAAGAAAAACTTTCCTGGTGTAGCCCTAGTATAAGTATGCTATGCTTAGTTTTTATTTCTTCACCTATGTCTTCTATTAATTAAAAAAAGTAATTATATAGTCTCTTTAAAACTTATGAATGAATGTACATGTCTCTGTTTTTGCTTTACTGTGAGTTAATGTGATCTGAAGCATCTGGATAACATGGAGGGCGCAATTATCGCCTAAGGATGGGGTGAAGTTGTAAACCACATCACTGGCACATCTTAAGAAGTATCCTGTTTCCGCTTAAATTCCTTTGCTATATCCACAGAGCAACAGAGTGGATTTCCATTTGAGCTGCATGAACCAGGACCTGGCAAACCATGGGGGGTTAGCAGAGATGAAACTGTCTCCCAGTTAATATTGGAGACTCTTTTTATGCAAGAAAATATGGAGTGCATACTTGGATCCCATGGTCAAAGGGGGAATGTCACAGTAGTACTTGAAAAGCTTTCAAGTCAGAAGTACTGTTTTATTTTGTTTTTTATTCTGTTGTGATAGCTTCTTACCAATACCTAATAGTCTATCTAGCTCTTTGAACCAAATGGAAGCTTTCCAGGAAGTAAATCATAGCATCACTTGTCTTTTTTAGGGGTCTCTTAAAGAAGATGGGATCGTATCTAACCTAGAAATAACATTTTTTTAAATCCTCTTAAACTTTGGAGAGAAATTTAACTATTAGAAGCCAAAATAAATGGTTTGCAAATAATTCTACTTTTTTAAAGTAAAATGGTAATAACAACAGTTGCATTCATACGTATAGGGAATCTCATTCTGAAGTGAGTCAGAAAAGCAACGTGAATTATGAGTGGCAAAGAATTTTGATAAGAATAGTAGATGGTTATAATGGTAACTCATACTTCAGTGCATAAGATTATAGGTGAAAGATTATATGCATCAGTGTCTTTGGATAAAGACAGACCAGGATCATGACATTGCCAGAAATAAGGTTAACTAAATCCCTAAATGTTAATACTTTTATTAGTTTTGCTTGGCCTGGTTAGAATCACATGTTCTGAAAAGAAAATCTATTGTAGATTTGGGTTGCATTTGTAGCATTGCTTCTCTGAATACTATAACTAGAAGAACTTATTTTGAAAGAAAAAAATAATACAATTCCTAAAATGATATTTGTATTTTCTAATGTAACAGGCTATACAATGTATAATGATAAAACCCTTTCTTTCAGTTTCTGTGCTGTGCTGGAAGGAAGTGAGAATGATATGAGATTTGTGTACTGTGCTTCCTGCATCTGCTACATGCTTGATAACTGGTCAGGCATGGATATAAAAAAAACAATAGACTACATTAGAAGAAGTATGGTGAGTTATTCTCAAAGAGTTATTTCTTAACACATTTGAAATATAATTGCCTTATTGCTTCACTATGACTATAAATCCATCCAAATTGAAATATTAGTTATATTATTGTTTCTTATTCCTGTTTTAGTGAGTTGAATATGAAAAAGTACATTTTTTTCCATTTATATTTTCATTGCAACATGTGTACTAGCAACATAACTGTAATTTATTGCATGTTTACTGTAAATTAATTTAAATCTGATCTTCTTTAAAACTCGATTTAAACTTGAAATAAAACATTGAATTAATAAATCCTCAAATTTCAATTAGCTCTAGTGCTGTTTTTTAAATGATATACAGAATCAAAGGAAAATTAATTATTGAGATCATTTCAAAATTAATGTGTTCCAGTCATGCGCTTCATTATTTATTAGGTATTTCTAATAAAGCAAAGTGTTAGTATATGTGATTCTTTTTGTGTGCATGCAGTCTTCATTTTTTTCACAGAGTGAAAAGCTTTTTAGTTATTGTTCATTTCAGCTTGGATAGTAGGTATAAAGAGAACACATACTTAACTTGAACCAATTTATTCATATGATGGGAGGTTGCAGATTTGGTGAAAGTAAAGAACTGGCGTTAGACTACAAGTAATGTCATACATGAACTGTATTGATTCTAAAAAACTTGGACCCAATGTGAAAGCTTCAAAGACATTTGGCAATTAAGAATATATGCAACTGCTGAAATACATTAACTCAGTATGTACAGTCAGTTCATCCAGGTTACTTTGCAAGTTAATTTAAATATGACAATGATGCAGTACTTTTTAATACTTTTTAATAAGTATATCCAGCACAGTTTTGGTATTTTATTTAATAGTTAAGAGCAGTTTTGGTATTTTAGTTAATAGCTAAGAGCACATAATAAATGTGCTCTTAAAATCCTGCTTCTGTTAATTAAATGAATTTCATTTTCAAAGATTAGTGCAAATTATTAATAGAGTATGTTTGAAAACTATAATTCCTTAATGTGAGTAGATGTACATGGTAAACTCCATAGGGAAGGAAAAAAAAAAAGCCAAGTTTGAGACATGGCTTTTGTAAGAAGTAAGTTGTAGTTATTGCCAATAGTTAAATTGTAAATTTTAGGTGAGAAACAAGTCTAAAAAAGACTTAATCTCCCATTTCGGTTATGATTTAGATCAGCAAGCAAAAAAATAATTTAATCAGGCCTTGTCTGAAGATTTCTTTTATTTTATATTTAGTTTTTAGGGGGATAGAGTTAGATCTTTAAGCATTTGTTAATGTACATTGCAAGAAGCTTTCTAGCAGACCAGCCATAGACAAGTTAGGGATGTAATTTTCTTTATAAACAAAATTTTATACTGTCACACATTGCTTTTAATGCCTGAATGCTAGTTCATTCTGCTCTGTCCTTTGGTATAGACACAGTCTCAATCTTAATTTACTGTAGGATACAGTCTGTTTATATGTTGTGTAGTTCTAAACAGTATTATTCAGTGTTTAGAAAGCCCTATGCGTTGGACTATTTGTGTATCCAGGAATATAGCTAACCTTGGTGAACTAAGTTAAAATGTGGCTATGTCTTTCTCCTGTCTTGCAAGACACAACGCAGTTCAAAAGAAAATATGTGATAACTGAACAAGTTAATGATTAAACATTATAGACATTAAAGATGTGTGCACTCAAGTAAAACATAGCCAAAGACTTGGATTTTTAAGAGCAGTTTGACAGGATACCTTATCAAAAACTTTAAAAACAAAAACAAACCTGAAATACTGTAAGTTAAGAAGGTGTCTTTTTATTCAGTTTACTGGAGAGAACAGCTAGTATAGTTTGCTAATAATTTTGAGTTATTTATGACAGTAAAGTCAGTTGTCAGACACATACCTATTGACCAGTGGTCTGTTCACACTCAACCATCCTCTTTAACACCTTTTCCCCCTCAGTTTTCCTCCACTTGTTCTTCTTCCCTAGTCCACATTGAATCCTGCCTTTAGTCCTTTCTTTAACCATCTCATAAGAAGTCTTGTGCACCCTTGTGTTCTGCTTAAAACACCCCCTAA